AACCTTTTGGCGAGTTATTTAGTCTAGCAATTATTGTTTGGTATAAATCTGAGACACTAGGTAACATGTATTAGATGAATTATTATCACAGCCGGGTGTAACTCTGCTATTCAAGCTTCCACTCAATATTTTTAAAGCTAGATTTAGTTGTATTATTTTGCTCAAGTGGATTAATTCCACGCGTGGTACTCTCAGGTGAGGGCCCGTATCGAGTAAGATCAGTGAAAATTCTGAGTCTACAGGACTTTGCTGTTTCGTGGGTGGTTGGAAAAAAAGTTTTTTCTGGCCTTCGGTTTGTGGATCCCCATGGACGGAATACTTACCTGATTCCATTTATTTCACTCTTGTGTTGTCTTTTCCAGGTTCTGATTACTCTGAGGAAACAGAAGGAGGACAAAAAGAAGATGGCAAGGAAGAGGAATACATACCTTCTCAGCATCCCACAGGTATTAAACAGTGTCGGTCTTGCATGAATCTATGATTAGCGGTAAAAACGGCCTAGGTAACATTACATTGAAAGATTCCATTTTGAATCACCTAAAAGCTCGCAATAACGACTTAAATAACAAAAAGATATACAATGGTTAAACAGGAAGACGGCTAGGTGACTGATTCCGTGAAAGGAATGACAAGGACGCATCCAAACCGGTCGTTAGACTCTTTAATCTCCCCAATCATTCTCAGGAGCATATGGCAGTTTATGGCCTTTCTTTACATCCAGGCAGTTTGGAAAGCCGTAAACCTCTGAAGGAAAAATTTATCTTTCAAATCGGCACTATTATCCTCAGGTATAAACAAACACTTTTCATTCAAGTAATTTATTCTTGTTTTTCTTGTTACCATGTTCCCACCAGTAGCTTCGACGAGAGGCTAGTGCTCGAAACGTCAGCTTTGAAACTCTTTATGGTGGCCAATTTACGTTTTCAACTCAGTTGATAATACAAAATTACCCAATTTAATCTACAACCTCGTTCCAAACGTACCAATTGTGAATAACGAAAAGTACATGATTTCATATTTCAGACGTCCGTAGAGAGATGTCTTTGCTACCACGTCCTATTCGACATTTCGTCAACCGAAAGAGAGAGCTCAGCGAGATAAAACGGTTTCTTAATAAGAACGACTCACAGAACGACTGTAGATGCATCCTGTTACATGGGTCTGTCGGTATGGGGAAAACTTCAACTGCAGTCAAGGCGGTAAACGAGATATTAGATGCCGATTCCGAGACCGTGGTTGCCTACGTAAACTGCAGGTTTTTGGCCTCCCTTGATGATCTCGCTGGGAAGATTGCCAAGCAGCTGTACCACTTCCCTTTCAGAGAGCCGGCAATTGGTAGAATCAAAAGTCTCCTTATTGAAGAAGAGAATTTCCATCCTCTACTGCTGCTCGACAACTTTGAATTCTTAGTTCAGTTGGACGATGGAAGAAGCATGGAGATGCAGGCTGAAAGAAGATTTCCATCCGAAAAGACAGAGATCATGAAGTTCTTCAGAGACATCGCTACAAAGTCAAAAAAAGCGCATCTGCTGGTGACCTCATCGAAGAATATCGATATCCTTCAGACTGGTCAGCAGTGGATCAAGTTGCTTCCCTTCAATGAAGATGATTCTTTACAACTGTTGAAGAAGGTCTATGGTGACACCCCTCTGGAAAAAGAAACTGCCTGCAAAATAGCACATTGTTGTGGAGGTATTCCATTCGTCCTGTTTGCCTTGGCAGCGTGGCAGGATAACCCAACAGATCTTCTGGAAATGCTGACGAACCCGGACCGCAAAGAAAAGTTTACAAGAATTTCAGATGCAACTGAAGATGAGAAGATCGACGTTTGTATCGACGTTTGCTTCAAGAGACTAGATACACACCATCAGAATACCCTTGTGTCTCTAACAGTATTCAGAGGTCTCTTTACCACCTCAAGAGCTTCAAGAATCCTGAAGTCTGCCGAGTTAAGAGGTGCGATAGATGAGCTAGCAAGGAGGTCGTTTCTGGAGCAGCATATTTCCGACCCATATCATTACAGTATCCTCACAGTATACAGCCTCTACTGCCAGAACAAGACCATAGAAACACCTTTCCAGGAAGTGTTTTCCGACGCCCGTAAGATGTTCATCAATTACGTTCTCAGTTTCCTTGAAGAAACCTTCCAGAGCTTCCTTAGCACTGATGTCTCAAAGGCTATCGTCGAATACCGACGTGAAGATGAAATCATTATGCAGCTCATCGATTGGTTTGGTGTAAAAGGTTCAATGGAGGAAGATCAAGAGAAAAGGTGCACCGATGTCTTCAACAAGGTGGGAGAACTGCTTGGCAAAATGATGGGAAAGAAAACATTTGACGGCGCCTTTACACAACTGAAATATAAGTGTAAGGAAAGTAAAGATCCCAAGAGATTGGGAGAATGTCTCACGTCCCTGGGAATCAAGGAAGTGTTCAGTTGCGGCTGCTCTCCAGACCTGTGTGATGAAGCTGCTGGACGAGCCAAGCCCTATCTGCTGGAGGCCGATAGAATCCAATGTGATCTTGATATCAGCACTGGTAACAGTCGAGCTCAATGTCTTGCCAAACTTGGTCGGTGTCTCGTAAAGGAACAAAGCTTCACTGAAGGAAAAGAAAAGATTCGACAGGCGATCGACATTCGAAAGGCACGTGGGGAAGCAGACATTGTTATGTTAGGTGCAACATACAATGACCTAGCAGGTGGGTGAGGTTTCGTACTTAAACTTTCTTCTCAAGCTGAATAAGCCGACAGGAAATTCAACAAAGCGTTGTATAAAAATTTTTCTGGTTTGTGGATATTTCACCTCAGTGCAAGTTCGCCCCTTCCCACCTTTGCGAGTATTCCCCCACCTTTATCAGTTTGAGAAAGTATTTCAGCTCCTTTCCTTACGAACATATTTCTTTCTGCTTCCAGAAAACAAGTGTTTGAATTTTTTTCCTTTTTGTCTAGTGGCTCTCTCCCTTGAGGGTAACCATGAAGAGGCCATAAAAGTTAGAGAAGGAGAGACGTTAGAAATATACAGAAAACACTTGGGAGACCGGCATCCCTTTACGGCAACCATCCTGAACAATCTGTCCAACAACTACTCTGCCCTAGGTGAGTACGACATCGCCAAACAATATTCAGAGGAAGCGCTGAAGATTCGGCGTGAGCTGCTGAAAGACCATTACGACACGGCTAAGTCCTTGTTTGATCTCGGGATGGTTCACAAAAATAGGGAAGAATTCAAGGATGCCAAAGCTTACCTGAGAGAATGTGAAAGCATGCAAAGGTTTCTGGATGACCCTACCATGATCAGCGAGCTTGAAAGGTTAGTTTACACGGTAATCCTGTAAGCTGCGTGAGAGCTTGTTAAGGTACATACTCGTTCTCATTTCTATTGGTACCAAGACAGGCTGCGTCCTTATCTAGCTTAGGAAACATTTTTTTCTGAAACATGTCTGCTAAAAAACGAAGGAAATTGAATTTACTTGCTCCCGGTTTTAAGAACTTACAGTTCAAGTAAGCTCTCAGCTAAAAATTTTTTGCGTTGGTTCGCGTTCAGTGTGAGCGAACATAAAACAGTATAGATCTTACCTCCTCTAAACAAAATTGTTGTGTCTTTGGTTTCGTGAAATGTTGCAAATTTCCTTAACAATGCCACTAGGTTTCATTCTTGCAAATTCCACCTAAATTAATTGCAGTGTTTGCAATAAGCTGTAGGAAGCATTATAGTCAAATATGGTTAACGCATCGACTCCGAATCGAAAGGCCCGGGGTTATAATAATGATAATGACAATCATATCGATAACGAAGATTTCGTTAGAGAAGATAACGTCATCGACATACATGGCGACAATGACGATGACGATGACGATAATGACAATGAGGATGATGGGGATGACTATGACGGTGAGAAACCAATAGACCAACATGCCATCCAGTAAGTGTTAGTTACTCTTGGCTAATTATCGCAAACGAAGCCGGAATAAGTCCTGGCAAGATGAAGCAGTTGCCTCGTGTTCAGTCTAAAATCTAGAGGTATCCACAAAACTTTTGATCGACCTCTTAAATTAAATGATCTTTTCGAACAGAACCATAAAAGAGGTGGAGGAATGCATGCTCAACGAAGGAAAAGAAAAACTCACGAAATCAGATGATGATCTTGGGCAAGAAGGAAAGTCGATCACCTTACAATAACTTTAGGCGGCGAACATGATGCAAGCGCAAGGATTACACAGAAAACTATTTAACTTGTAACTCTGGGTTCTGTTTTTGATGTTATTAAGTGGTTGGAAATCTGGATCAGTTTATTTTACACTATTGGTTGATCATATGTAACAAGTCTGACGGGTTTCATAGCCATTGATCATGATTTTGCCGATAGGTTTAACTGAGAAAGGAACGAAATCAATGTGAACACGAAGTTCCGAGGAAATCACACAGCGCCCATGTCCTCCTTCAAAGCCCTTGCTTCGCGTTTAATGATGAAATTTACCCAAGCCACGCAGACTGTTATTCAGGTATTTACATTTGCTTTTTCACAAAATTAATACTTCAAAGTTAAAAGAGATTTAAGGTAATGTTTTTTGGTTGCATGGAAGTAATTTCAGAAATTTAAACCTACACTGAATTGTCATCTCTGCGAATCTCCTCTCCCCTTACTGTCTTACTGTGGGTGACGAGGACGATGAGCAGGTGCATCAGATCGAGGGAAACTAAGGCGCTATGTACGGTCGCGTTCTTCCGAAAACATATTCTGTCTAGGAATTCTCTATATTGGATTCCCCTGAACAGGGATTTAAAATTTGTATTAAGTTGTAACCTTTGCAGACTTTTTAATTTTTTCAGCTAATTGTGTAAGAAATCTTCTTCACGTGTTCTTGTATTTGTGACAGTACAAATAGTCAGTTTAAAACATCAGATGTAGTTTGTTTTGGAAACAATATAATTTGGCACAAGCATCAGTACAAAACTGGGGCTCTTACTTAGTGTAGAAGACACAGTTTACATGAAAGAATGGAGAAGAAAAAGACCAAAGAAAGAGGAAAACAACGAAAATAATTGGTTAATGAGGCGGCGTTCTATTGTGACATGTTCTGTGTCTTCGACACCAAGAAGACGCCAAAACTGGAACCATAATGTCATTCCCAAGACTTTCTCTTTTCCATCTTCAAAAGTCCCGGGAACGAGGATGATGGAGTCCCTTCGGACGTTCGTGTCAGTAGTAGACACTATCAAATCGAGCCTCATGAATGTATGATGTTAACCGACAATTACTTATTTATCAGAAACCTTGTCGTTTTTGAAGCGTTTTTCTGACCCTGTTGAATTATTTCAGTTATTTAATCTATTTAAAAGTTAACAAGGAATTTGAAAGCTGTCAACTACATCACAAATTCTGTTTTGGGGTTCTTAACTCAAACTAATGGTGTATAATAAAAGTCAGCAATACTTAACAGT